CGAATTAAGCCTGAATGCCTTCCACATATCCCCCCCCCAGGTGCTGTATAATCCTCCGGGTTTAGCGCTTCCCCCTTGATTATAATAATAATAATAATGTGGAAGACTATATGTGAGTGGCTCAAGCGGGAGGTGGCGATATTACCCATGAGAAGGGAGAGGGGGATTATCATGAGATTTACGGAGGCGGACGTTGTGTATATGTTCAGCTGTATAGCCCTTGTGGCTTAGCGCTTCTTTTTTGATTATAATAATAATGTGTATATGTTCAGCGGTTAGTGGCTCATGTGGGAATCTTTCAGACTGAATTCCCCCTCAAGGGAGGTTCCTTGACGCTGGCGAGGGGCTGATCTAGGGAATTGGATCTGTGCTCCAGTTCCCTGAATGTAGCCTGAATACCTTCCATTCTCCCCCCCCCCACATGCGCTATATAATCCTACGGGTTTAGCGCTCCCCCATGATTATAATTGCTGAATTATAATCCAGACCGATTGTATGAGGGCCAGTGTGTTTTACCTAGGCACTGTATGACCATTATGAGTTTAGTGCTTGGATATATAACATTACTATTGCCTTTTGTGTTAAATTTTAAACGAATAGCTCTCTCTCTCTCTCTCCGCTGTATAGCCTGTGGCTTAGCGCTTCTTTTTGGTTATAATAATTCTCTCTCTCTCTCTCTCTCTCTCTCTCTCTCTCTCTCTCTCTCTCTCTCTCTCTCTCTCTCTCTCTCTCTCTCTCTCAAGGAAACAAATAAATAAAACTTCAAAACACATGTAATTTGATCTATTTATTGTCAGTATAAAAGTAAAGTATTTCATATTTGATATTCACTTGAGAATTAAAAAAAAAAAGTGCAACATGATTTTTACACAACTGAATTTTCTGTATCTTCATGGTGTAAAACTGAACACATTGTTCCAACAAACTTAGTTTATTCCACTGAATTAACCAGGGGTGAAACAGCAAATTCTTAAGATCTATTTATGCCCGTGTCTCAAGTTGGCACCTTTTGTTTACAAACCAAGATACACTATAGTCTCCACAATGTTAAAATAGCGGAAGAATTACATTGCAATTCCCTTGAAGAGGGAAGGGGAGATGCTTCATGCAGGTGAAGGGAATAAGAGCTACCCTCCCCTTCCTCGGATCAAATATGATTACCCCCCCCATTCCTAGGCGCTGCATTACTTTTACGAGTTTAGCGCTTTACCGTGAATAATGTAACAATTGCATTGTAATTAATAAATAAACGACACTGGTGTATTCAGTTTCAGAATAATACTGAATTAAACCAGTGAGTTATGGAGGAATATCACAGTATTTTGATTCTTCAAATATAAATTCCTACATGTATTGAAAAAGTAATTATATTCGGGTGTTTGTATTTATATGGATTTACCTATTCCAACTGACTTTGAAACATGTAACAGCCGAATGATGGACGAAACTTCTTTCCTCACTGGATTTATGGTAGTGACTCAAGACTTATGAATGGACTCAATTTGAAATACTGTTCTAGTCCATGCAGTGTGAGTGGGCAACCTGCAGTGTGAGTGGGCAACCTGCAGTGTGAGTGGGAAACCTGCAGTGTGAGTTTGAAACCTGCAGTGTGAGTGGGAAACCTGCAGTGCGAGTGGGCAACCTGCAGTGTGAGTGGGAAACCTGCAGTGTGAGTGAGCAACCTGCAGTGGGAGTGGGCAACCTGCAGTGTGTGGGTAACGTGCAGTGTGAGTGGGCAACCTTCAGTTTGAGTGGGCAACCTGGAGTGTGAGTGGGCAACCTGGAATGTGAGTGGGCATCCTGGAATGTGAGTGGGCAACCTGGAGTGTGAGTGGGCAATCTGCAGTGTGAGTGGGCAACCTGCAGTGTGTGTGGGTAACCTATTCTTACTGGGGATTTAGTCCCCAAACAAAATGTGTGCATACCAGATTCATAAAGTCAATCATTACCAGTTATTTAAGCTATTACTGTATACAGTACTTACTGTTTTGTATGGGAAATATTTCGAAGTCATGCATAAAATACATTTGCAATACATAGTATTTATATTCAACTAATACATCCATCATTAACAAATTATATATACGTATATATATATATATATATATATATATATATATATATATATATATATATATATATATATATACACACACATAACACGAGATAAAATTATGTTATTTAAACTTTTAGTTAACAAAAAATTAGTTAACAAAAAAATTAATAATTTTTTGTACAGTAACTCCCCACTTAGCAACCATTCTTCAGGAACAAGTTTACTTACCAACCAACCCCCCCCTCCTACCCACCCCACTTGTGATGGCTTGTACTACATGTGGCTGCTACTGTCCAGCTGTGTATATACAGCTAGAGACATATATCTTGACCAAACTCTCAATTCTTTCCCTTCATGAGTGTCTTCAAGCTGGTGAACTGCACCATCTTAGATTTAATATTTATATAGCCTGAATATCTCCCCCCCCCACCCTTATACACTATAGTAACTACAACACCACCGCAGGTAAACATCTTTGGTAAGTACACCATTTTTTTTTAATTTCATTGTTAAAATATTTTAGTAGGAAAAATATACAGGAAATTATTTTCAGGGACTACATCTCCAATTTTAACCTGCGTGATTATGGGGTCCACTTAGCATAAAAATGAATTGTGAAGCACCCTTTGCAGAAACGTTTTATTAGGACAACGTTTCGCTCAGCGCAGACACATAGGGTTATAATTATAACCTTAATTTTTAATATGGTGGACTGTTAAGCCGGTGGAAGGCCTCGGTTAGATGACCAAAAACTCCAGTGGTGGGTATGGAAAATTTTTGATGTAATTTTCCCAAATTTATATTGTACAAATTTTTATAATGCAAATGAGCAGAAAAATTATACTAATTTGACCTTTCGAAATTTGGTGTTGTGGGGAAGTGTGTTGCAAGTACAGCCGGGGGGGGGGGTGACAGTCACCATTATTGGTAAATGTGTTGACGTGTGTTCCAAGTAACTGGCTAATTAAATCACGCTTCATCGAGGACAAATTGTGGTGAACCGGCCTAAGATGAACAGCAAATAATGCGGTGATACACTACATTTAGAACTGGGATGAAAATAGTGAAGAAACCACTACAATTGAGTGGATTCAGTGTGAAATAGGAGGACGCCAGACTGGAATAAATTGTGGGACCGTATGCAAATTTAGCGTCCCATTTCCGATGGTTCCGGAGGTTAAATGGGACTCGTACCTCACAAATAGGAGCAAAGCAAATCGGAATTATCGTCTTGCTGAAGTTGTAATGACAGATTTGGCAGGACTTCGAAATTAGACGAAGGGGAAGATAAAGGATGACATCTCGCACCCACAGGTAAGTAATGTCTTTTTATATAGAATTATCTAGCCAGTTTAATTTCTATGTAATTAGAGATGTATTGTGGGTGTTTCTGTGGCATACAGGTGACCCCTAGAGACAATTTTGTTAAGTGGTAATATTAAGTACCATTATTTTCATAATATCGCAATTGCACCTCAAATTGTATTATTTTATTGTAATATGTGAAATGACTGTTGTACTGTGTACCTTATTTCCTTTAATCAGTCAAAATTCCCATACAGTCCACACAATTTTTGAATGTAAATGTTAGCACCAGAATTGCTGGTAGTGTTTCTTAAATCTTTATGGTAATATTTTAGGTCTCGGGGAGGTGTAAGTGGGTAGTGGGTATCGGCGGGAGAGAGACTCCTTGCAACTAGTATAATTTATTTCTCACAGCGGGTCATCATATAACTAAGACCCGCGTCAGGAAACACTTGGTTCCTGATGAATCTTACCTAACTTAACCTAGCTCCGTGTAAAGCCTTGTAAAATCATGACTTGTTATAATGCTGTAACACAGAAACTGTCCCAATTCAGCTTGCTCTACAACGTATTGTGTCATTGCTATTGTTGGCAACAGGGCATTTGGACTCAAAACAATGACTTAGAACTACTTGTGATCTTAAAAGCGGGATTACTGTACTGTAAACTTAACGTCACGAAAAGTCATATATACATTTATATAAAAGAAATAATCACATTGTCACTTACATGAAAACGTACAGTCTTTTGAAATCTTTCAATACAATTAATTGATCTTTGAACTATATGAGTTTGGCGCTTGTTTAAGATATAATTTCAAAAAATGTAACATAGGAAATTAGCAAAATGTGCCAAATATGAGATTCTAAATATTTAACCCTTAATACGATACCTGTTACATAAAGTATTTTATAAATTCTTAATATACCCAGTAAAAATGTATGTTTTAACTTAAGTTATACAATACATCTCGTTGGATTGCATGTATCTTCAAGGTATGCATACAGTAATACTGACTTTTATGTAGCATAATTTTTTTTTATTTACCAATGGCAAGTCAAAAACAGAGCTTAATGTTATTTTTTTATTAATGACGGTTACTCCAATTTGTGACTTTACTTACGAAGAAAGAGCTTATTCTAATAACGTAAGCATTGTATTATAATCTGGATATGGAAGAGATGTGTGTGTGTATTTCGTTTAAGAATGTGTTACATTAAACCAGCGGAGTATATTCTACAAGATTATCACAGTATTTTGATTCTTTAAATAATCACAGATGAAAAAGTCTTTTCATTTGAATGTTTGATTACATGTGAATTTTTCCAATATATCTGGTTTACATGTGCCTGCAGTCCATTCAGGCAAATGAATGAATGACATATATATATATATATATATATATATATATATATATATATAATATATATATATATATATATATATATATATTATTCATATCACATGGCGTTTACAAAGTGGCATCAGACCCATGAATAGGTTAGTAATGTACACTGAGTAACTTGCATTTGTTGGGGATTTTGTCTATATCGAAAACACAGTTATGTATAAGTTGTTCACCTTATCAACATTTTCCAATATTTTCAGTTAATATACTGATTGGTTTATATAAAAGTCGTTAAAAGCTACTAAAAATACATTTGCAACATATATATAGTTTTGTACAGTATATAAAACATTAACAATATCTTGAGTACTATATGGAGGATAAAATTGTTCAATTTTTTTTTTAAGATCAAAATGAAGAGTTTAGCTACACATTTGATCACGAGTCATCATACGGCGCCTCGAATAAATAAATACATTTCACGTACACAAGTTATGATTTCTTTTGCAAGCGTTTAATTTTAGAATTAGAAAAATCTTAGAAATTGTTTATAAATTAGGAGATTCGTACTTTCCCTCATGACTTAATACTTAACCTAGTGAAACGTCGCCTAATTTTATCACAATACACTATTACATCATAATATAAAATATAACGTTAATGCTGCCACAGTAATTTCGTTGATAAGACTTCAGCTGTCTGTGAGGAGGCTAACAAGCTTATGAAGTCTTAGTATAAAAACTTGACAGCATCCATAGACTTAATCTACTATGACAACCTTTGGGGATAACAGTTATGTTGTAGTTTATAACACTGACAACATAATCACACTAAGACCATCACAAAAAATTAGTATTATTTGTTCTCATTTTGACTAATGATAGTTGCACTATGAGGAACTACTAGAATACTGTACAGTGTATGACAATATATTACTCAATAGATAACCAACAATTATATACAAGTATATTCTCTTGTCAATATTTGTACAATTGTCTCCTATTGTATTATCCTCTACTAGCAACCATTTCTATCTTGAAGTTCATGCTCTTCACACTACACTGTCGTCGCAATATTACAATAATAATAACATACATATGTCAGAGGCCTTAATAAGTTAAGTTTAATAGTTATGTGAAAACTTGTAGTAGTAATACCATTTTGCATTACTGCATCACAATTGTCACCTGGAAAACTGGACGTAGTCTGGAATTTATACCCTTATGTGATGACCTGGAATATACACCGAGATGTGTATCTCATTCTGCATACCAAATGAGTTTCCTTTAATCCTTTAGATATTAAAGTATGTTTCGTTAGTGTACAGGAGATACACAGCTTAAATTATCTAGAATTGATAGGCTTCATACCTAGCTAGATAAACTAAACTACGTTTGTAAATAATGCCTCAATTATTGCAAAAAAAAAAGAATCTTGAGTGATTTTATAAGCTGGTCAGTCATTAAGTGACGTCATCCCAACTACTAAACTTAATTATGGTGTATTTCACTCACAAAACATACATGGATATTTAAAAAAAGTTTAATTTCATAAGATTCTGAAGACATTTATTTATGAAAACATTTCTATGTTGATTTAATTTAGAAAGAGAGTTCAACCATTTTTTTTTTTAATCCGTCGGTCGTTTCCCACCGTGGCAGGGTGACTCCCCCCCCCCCCCCAAAAAAAAAAAAAAAAAAAAAACACTTTCACCATTATTCATACATAATCACTGTCTTTAAACAATTGTAGTTTTTAACAGTTTTACTAGACGAATTACTAATACCGAAACAGTCTAATCAGTCATCCTTCAAAGCATCGGTTGAGAGCTGGTTAAACTGGTGGATGTATATTGTAAACGTGTGTTGGTTTCTTAGATTAAAAACCTTTCGACTACTCATGTTGTTATATCTGCAGTTCACCTGTACATCACTACATCAAAAATACTCTAGTCCCTAAAAGAGGAATTAATTTAAACTCGGTGTATATATCGATATCTACACCCCTCAGTGTATATACACTTCTGCTCTGTAAATATACATCAAGCAAAATGCATCCCTCGCAATATATATCTTGTATACTCATGAAATAAATACCTTGAACAAATATAAGCTATTTTGTTGTATCTACTGATCGATATTGTAGGTAAATAAAATATTTCTCACGTTCTTTGACTCGCTGAAAAAGTACCGTAGCACTATGCTACCGAACCAGTGAAATGATACAGAAAATTTCTAATGTACAGACATCCTTACACATATTAGAGAAAACTTAACATCAACCAGCCAGTAAAGCACGATACTCTGCTACCAGTAATGCATAGGGATACCAGGAACTTTGCTGAAATTGGTCATGAGGATGACACAACACTGCAATAAATTTTCATTTAACCCACAAATTCGAGATGCTGCTGGACGACGTTTCAGTCCACCTCGAATCATAATGAAGCCACGACTTTATAATAGCTCACGACTTAACGAAACTCGTCTGGCTTTATTTCTAGTTTGTAGGTTATGAATTGTTGCAGCCACGGTTTTGTGACTTGTATACTTTCTAATAATGCAACATCACGCTACACTAAAATAGATTACTACCGTACATGAAGCCTTTAAATGAAGATAGTTTTATGATGTGTAAAATAAAAACATTTAAAAGAAGACTAAGAGAGAGAGGGGGGAACAATAATTGTATGTCATTATACAGTACAGTACTTAGAAAGGTTAGGATAGATCATAAATACAGCTTTATTAAACATGTTGCTTGTTTTACTAATGGTTTAAGTTCAAAGTAGATGTGGGTTTCATGTACCAGCCTTCAGTTTATACGAGTAATACTGAAATAATGTATATCATTATCTCTTTGAGTTTCTGATACCTCACTAATACTGTATTACCATAACGCCTCACTATAGAAAAAAAATGAAAAGGGTTTATTAGGATTATTAGCCCTAGAGTATTAATAACTCAGGATAACCCAAGAAAGACAAGCAGTGCGCTTAGTCCATTGGGTCCTTAAAACCCGTATGTGATCCACAGCTATTTTGGTCTCTAGCAAATTGTTAAATTTAAGTGTAATTGCTAGGTCTAAGCTTAACGTTTTGGCCATGGCACGGTTACTTCATATTATGCTACATTACATAGTGTGCACTAGATCCATGAAATTGGAGCTACTCTCCCATTTAAGTGCTTCCCATGAATATAATAATATATAATAATCCATATACCATATTGTTTGAAGGAATATAATGTAAATGATGGCCTTAAAATTATTGATTTTTAACACATCGTCCATTTCTCAGCAAAGCAATTTAACTCAGGAGAACTCACATTTACCATCATTGGATTCATAGATCTCATTCCAGAAATGTACGGATATCACAGTGCAATAACAAGGAATCTCAGTATCTCCACCCATCTCAGAGTGCATGCACTCTTCTTCCCACCTCAACAATCGGGTTTCTCTGCACAGTTATATCGTATATAATACATATATTATTTGCCTCCATTAGGTCTATTCTAACATGCTCGCATATGTCTACTGGATGTTTAAGCTCTGATCACTCGTGAACTATACTCTCCTTCCACCGTTACGTCACTTACCGTCCATTCTACATATAAACAACCTCTTAGTCAACTTATTTTGTCTCGACCTTTATACACGGCTATTAAAATCGCAATACTGTAACTCCTCTTTTGTTCCTTGAATTTACCTGCAATACCAATTATTGTCTTCACTTCTATTCTTTGAGTTAAACTCACATCATTGATTTCCACTGCCTCCAATAAATTATTATATTCTTTAACTTCGTATAATTTCTCTAATTATTAATCAACTGTAATTTATATTATAAGCCATATATTTGTTACTTGCCTTCTTCATAAGATAGTGAGGAATAAATTTGTATATAAATTTTACAAGATGTTAATAGGCTTGTGTATATGTTTAAGCGAATAACCAATATATTTTAATATTCTGTGCCTGAGGATCACTTTTCACACTATTTACGTAAACTTCTGCGGAAGCATTATATATTGAATCTGTTTTCAATAAAAACGGGATAAAATGAGCTAATGACTCGTGGCTATATTATCCCTTTACAATACATTAATTACTGTTTTCGTTTTCCCGTGTTTATAGTACTCTTTTATCAATATTATCTATTGTGGCAGATCAACTACCTTTTTAATTTCTGAGTTTAAATGTACAGCACCAGCAGCGTTGAATTAAAATAGTTTTATGCCTACCAGACTCAGGAGAAAAAATATTTTAAATAATTTTTGTTGTTGTTTTTGCTCGGCTTAGTGAATTATCAGACAAACATGAATTATAATATCAAGCTCTTTTAAGTCAAATAAGTTTTTACCTGGGATCGCAAAGTACTGGAGTAATAAAAAAATAATGTAACACTGAATATAAGGGCGAGATGTTGAGAGAATGGCATCAAAGATACATGCCAGGTAAGCTTATATAAAGACAACATTTCGCAGAAAAGACGCAAATTATCCATGTAATTACATAAGGATTGCTATTACTTTATCCGTACACAAACGGGTTTACCGCTTCCTTTTTAATATGAATACAGATTATTCGACCACATTAATGTCTTGATAATTCTTATTAAAATGGAAATATTTCATCACTATAATAACTGCTTAATGTTTCCTATGCTGTTATATTGTGCCAATAGATGTTACAAATCTAAACATTTATATCTAGAGAATGAGAAAGTCAGTTAAAAAAAAAGGAGGGGGGGGGGTTCACATAGTGATATGCTAATGCTGCTGAAAAATCTTCGGTACTGTAATGTTTTCAGTCCGATGAAGTTTTTGTTAATTCCTTGAAATCAGTTTCAATCGTATTCTTATTCCCCGGAGCCACAGCAGTATTTGAGCATCAGTGAAAAACAGCTGTACACATTTTTCATAATATGATCTCTAGGCTCTTTATGCGTGTCTTATCTCACTGTCTCGTGCCAGTTATGTTCTCCTGTAGTTACTACTTTTATGACTTCACATTTAAACTAATTTCATGACCTAGCAAAATAGTGATAAACTGTTTCAACAGCAACTGATAAAAAAATAGCCAAAAAGGGAAATAGAACGAAATTCCCTAAATATTTAATCAGCATACTATTGTAATTAATAAGTTCTGTTGAAAAACAGTAGCACTGTTGTAAAAATATTTGAGGCTGATATCCCTTGCTTTTACTACAGGTAATTACGCAAGTATCTGAATTGTACAAGAACAATCTGCACAAAGATGATAATATGACTCATCTTCGAGAGTATTTCATTTTCTTTCAACTACAGGTTAAAAGGGGTAATATTTTGTGACTAAAAAAAATATAAGGCATATATCGTTAGTGCTGTATAAACTTCAACACTCAGTGTGAAAGGAAGAATACATAGGGATCACTATCAGATCTCAGCTCCTCCTGTAAGTAGTGATTCTATGGGCAACCACGGCCAGCCAGTTTACCTTTTTTAAATAATAAAATTATCTTTGATAAGATAAAAGCTTAACAAAACACTGAGGGGATATTATGTATAAATGCGTGTGCATGCATGCGTATGTGTGTTGGTTGTCTTTCATGCTTCAGATGCCTGTAGTGAAGAATGCAGCTGCTTTTATTTTGTTTTCTAATTTACCAATTAAATATAGTTAAAATATTCTACTACATAAAATTTTAAAATAGCTTTGCTATTATTTTAAGGGAATTTGTTTTGCCTGAAACGAATAAACCTTTTTTAATGCAAATTCACTTGCAAATGTTTTTATTCTCACTACACATATATCCAAATATGTGTGTGGAAAAAATAACACTGGTGGTCAAAACAATGATACATTCAGCTTGTATAACTTCTGCCAACAGAAATTATTCACTTACAGTGAAGCGTAAATGCAGTATAGCACTATAATACCTCAGGGAATGTATCCAGCTACTAGTACCATAAATAAAATTATGGAAGAGCAGATATGTCTAAGGATAATTCCATCTGGTGAGGTACATAGTAAACCTTGTATAGGATACTACTAGAACCCAGAGGTTCTAAGACCTACTACATGAAGATAAGCACTTACTGGCTGCCGTGGTTGCCAGCTTCAAAATGTTGTCATGCCATGGTTGGATCTGTTTTCTTTTGTTCCTCCTCTTCCTCTTCCTCTTCCTCTTCCTCTATTTGACTGTCTTTTTCACCCTCGGTGTCAGTCTCTTCAGCATCTGAGGAGTTATAAAATACTGCCTGTAAAGTTTCTTCAAGTTCATCTTCTTCTTTTTGGCTGAGTCGACGAATTGGTGTACGCAGTTTGATGTGCTTGGGTGGTGGTTTGTAGAGAGAAGCTTTCAGGAGAGGTGCAAATTCCCTATGATCCATGGAGGTGATACTCGATGGAAGAGAGCCCATTGGAGAGTTTGATGGAGAGCTAATGTCATCTTGGATAGAGCTGTCGCTACTGTTGGAAGCTGCTGCTGCCACTTCATCCTCAATAGAATTAACAAGTGTGATCAAGTTGAGCACATCCCGAAGTGGGAGAGTCACTTCATTAGGCTGGCTCTCTATAATAGTCTGTGACTGAGCTGCTTTGCCTAAATTACCAGTTTCTACATTCAAGATACCAGACAAGGTTTTCGAGAACTCGTGCTCTTTTGGAGACTGGGCGATGAAGTTCCTAATAGATGGGACAGTCTCTGACCTGAGAATTACGTTGACGTCCAAGAGTTGGGATAAAGTGAGGGGAGGTACTAACTCATTCTGGGAATCACACGTGCCTGCAAAACATAATATACTGTCAAGATGATGTTACCAGGAATTTTATGTCCGTTGTATTTTATTTTAAACTTTTAGCATAATACCCAGCTCATGTCTTAATATTATACGAAAAAATTAAAATATGGTAGTTTATATATACTATTCTGTTTCTCCAAGGCTATGGGTCCCCCAATTTACCCTAGAGGTGGCACCCCCCTCCCCCTCTCTCTCTCTCTCTGTATATCCCCTCAAGGGAGGTTCCTAGACGCTGGTGACTGGCTCTTGATTTAGGGAATTGGATCTGTGCTATAGTCCATCCTCCCTTACAGGCGATGTATAACCCCTACAGGTTTAGCGCTCCCTCCATAATAATAACCAAGGGGTTTGGTTATAGGTAATACATATTTTAAGAAAAAGGGAATAAATAGGTATACAAGATACGATGTAGAACGTAATGACTGTAGTTTGTTGAACTACGTTTTGGTAAATAAAAGACTGTTGGGTAGAGATCAAGATGCACATCTTTATAGAGGAGCCACAGATATATCAGATCACTTTTTAGTTGTAGCTACAGTGAGAGTAAAAGATGCATGGGATACAAGGAAAATGAAAACAGCAAGTAAGAGGAG